ATTTTACTTGAGGACAAGCAAAAGTTCAAGTTTGGGGGTGTGTTAAGTGTATATTTATACACTTAATTGTACCTTTTTATTTGAGCTTTTGGTGTGTTTTAACGATAATTGGTGCTTAAAATGGCTATTATTTGTATTTTAGGTGCAAATTGAAGAATTGGCAACTTGTGGGGTGAAAACTGCAAATTCGGAGAAAAAGTGGGCCAAAAGTGAAAATATCAAAACTCTGAAGAATGGAAGACCGGACGGCCGTCCGGATTTTAAAGCGTATTCTCGCACGGCCGTCCGGAGGAACGCATTGGCGCAGTGAAGGAATTTTAATTACACAAGGAAACCGCCCTTTTATATTTTTTGCACCCTATTTAAAGGCCAAAAAGCACACAATTAAAGGGACCTTTATCATCTATCGTTTATCTTTTATCTTTATTTTTTCTACACGCAATCTAGGAGCAAGAGAACGGAGCAACGAAGACGAAGACTTGACGAATCTTCATCCTAGTTTTTCCTTTACTTTTATTTCTAGATTTTTATGAACTTTCGTATTTTTATTATGCTTTTCGTTAAGAACATGAGTAGCTAAGTTTTTATTCTAGGATTTTGTTGGAACCCTATGTGGTAATTCGAACCTATTTTTCTACTTTTATGCAAGTTTAATTCTTCGATTATTTCTTCTATCTTGATCTTATTCAGCGCATGAACGTAGCTAATTTATGTTGCTATTGGTTATTGTTAGAATTGATTGACAGATTGTTTTAATAATTAGAACAGGGATAGAAGAGCCTTCGAGTAGTTTTTCACCGAATGTGTGTGTTGATTGCATGTATTATCATAGACATACAGATAATACCTTAGGTAGCCGTTTTCGAGACATGTAATTTAATGCTTTATTTATACTAGGTTTGCATAGACATATAGTGAATCTTTTATGAATAATAGGCTTATAATACAGCGACAACTGGTTATGAGTAATTCCGTGTCTTGGGTTAATAATCGGGAACCATAACTTGCATCATAGAAGATTAATTGGGTGAAGAATTATCGCATAGGGGGAAGATAAAATCCTAGATCCGTTTTATACTGATATTTTCTCGTGTTTAATTGCTTTCTTAATTAGTTTAATTTATTTAGTTAATTAATTTGACAAACTTGCGTAGGCTGGATAAAAATCGTAATTGTTAAAATTTGGTACTTAGGATTAAATAATTTGCGTATTCCCTGCGGGATCGACATCCGACTCTCACGAGTCTACTTTACTACTTGTTTGCGATACGTGCACTTGCGTGTGGGTATTTAGCACCCAACAGTAACACAAAACAAGAAAAATATTGTTGTTAGCAGACATGTTCTACACTAAAAATTATATGTTGACATCTCATAATACACAACAATTCTTTGTTCGATCAGAGAGTTTACATTCCAACTACTTACTACACATATAGCCATATGTGCAGTAATAACCACATATAGCCATTACCAACTACTTACTGCACAAATATCCATCACCAACAACCACATAGAGCCATTACCAAAAACCACATACAAAAGTTACCAAAAATCACTGTACTAACACCACACATATATCCACTACCAAAACCACAACACTATTTTTCATGATCCCCAACAATAGACAATGATATAGATAACAAAACCACCGCACAAGGTGAATACCACACAACATTATTACTATCTTTTACATAAACAAACAGTATTTAATAATTTATAATGCAAATTTATTGAATAAACTCCACAATGCAAACTAAACGTACTGTATTCCATACAATATGCTTACACAACGACCAAAAAGTTGAAAAATAAAGAAATACAGTAAATAAACTGCACGTCCATATGTCATAATGTTTAACGATAAATAAAGTGTATCCCGAAAAGATTCATAACAAAAAATCTCAGAAAAAAACAACAACCACATAACCCATTCCAAAATATTACGCATTTTCATCTATTACGTCGAATATATACTTTATTTTTGCGCCATTCAAGTAAAGTCTCGACGATCTCTATTCTCATGTTGGGAATGTCATTCACACCTTGTGCTTTTGTAATAATTCTATTTTGGAAGAACTGCTTTACGATGTAGCACACAACTACCCCACAGTCGACACTGTCACTCTTTTATTGGGGAGCATCAGTCATTAAAACCACTTCTTCGTCGTACGAGAGATCTAGATTGTGATATCTCCCCGTCTTATCCACGACAGCTTTTTGTTTAAAGATTACAAATTTCAGGTCAAACCATATAACTATCCAAAAGCATATAAATATACCAAAACCATGAAACCATATACACTGCTTATAACTCCCCAAACAGCAAAACATTTACTTCATATGGATAAAAACCATATAAACTATTTATGGCTCCCTAAACCATAAAACACTCATTGCCTAAGGATCACCACATAACTTATACTGCTTATGATTTTCACCTATTAAAAGGATACAAACCACATTACGTAATTTGTCAAAACCGCATAATATGTGTTACCAATATCACATAACATATATTGTAGAATTCAAACTCACGTGAACAATTGCACATATTAATTACTGCATATACCCCCAAAAACCACTAACATGTACTGTATATGGCTAAAACCCACATATACTGTGTATGGCTCCCAAAACCACAGAACATTTATTGCATAATGATAAAAACCACATAACAAACTATGCATAAGATTTTTATCTATTAAAAGGATAAAAACCACATAACATACATACTACATAACCGCATATGATTATGTTATACCATATATTCTTACAAACCTCACCAAACCACATAACTTAGATTATAAATCCACACAACATAAAACTGATAACCACACTGTACTTCACAATCTGAACACCACACATAATTTTAATCCACCGTTTAATTTTCATGTATAAATACAACTTCAATAACCAAGTAGTAGCTAGTTTTTTTATACAACATAGTTCAAAACTTAACATAAAGGGTTCAAACATCACATATCATCAAACAAAAAAAAAACAAGAAATTATAAAACCACGCATATCCATTAAAAACCATACATTTCCTGTATAGGTCCAACATATTAATATTCGTAGTAAAAAACTGATAAACAAAACCTACACATTGGTTTGGGCTTAAACATGCATATCACAAAACTAGTAATAATGAATATTTTTACAACAACGAAGCATAAGTTAACGACACGTATATATCGATTACTGAATTCATACTCACCAGGATCTAATTCCATAATGCCAGGCCCTGATTTTCGACATTCTTCTTCCCGTAATGGTTTGCCCTTTCCGAGAAAGACATGCATAATAAAATTAAGAACATTCTTGTAAATTACTTGCAATATTCAAAAAATCGATTTAACTCAAAAAATAAAATACCGTAATCACTTACTCTTCGTTGTTAATTTTTGAACCATCTTGCAGAGACACAAATCAACAGTAACTGGGTTTTCGCAAATAAAAAAAAATATGGTTTTAACCTCTAATTACTGTCTTCCCCAAGAACAATATCCATTGTTGGATGGGCTTTGTGAAAGCGGGACGAAGAAGACGACGATATTGGAGTGGATTACGGGCGTGATTTGGGGCAGAAATATAAGGAGGATTTTTCGGTTTCGTAATCTGGGAGGGTTTGCATATATCGACCGGTTTTTTATTTTAAATTAATATACTGGTTAGTTGGGGTATATAGGGTATTTTAGTTTGTTTGGATTTATGTCAAATATCAACTCCTAAAATTGGATTTATCAAGAAGTCAAATTGCAATGGAGGGTGTTTATCAAATAGCCCCTAAATTAAAAACGGACGTGCCGTTAATAAACAAAAATCGGACTCCATTATTTAAGTGACACGTGTACATATTTAAGGAGAGTGTTTGTTTTCATTAATTGTGAATTGGACTATTAATTGCAATCCCGTAATTGACATACACCTATACACATTGATTTTTGATTTTTATTTTTTCAATTAGCTGCTACAATCATCTCAATTATATTAGCCATAATAAAATACTACTATATCCAGGGGCGGAACCAGGATTAGAAAGTAGGGGGGGCGCACTAAAATTTCGGGTTTTGGGGTAGCGCCCCGAAAAAAAATTTAGGTTCACAATATTGCCCTTAATGGATTCGTGGGACCGTCTCATATTATTTTTAGAGACATTGATATAAAAAAATCAAAGATCGATAAGTAAATATTCATAAATTTTATTTAAAGTAGTACAAGTTTTAACCATTTTATTTTATATTTTTATAATCAATATGATATATATATATATATATATATATCTATAATTAATATAAAATTATGGAGAATAAACAAAAAAATTAAGGGTTAAGACACATATTTACAAAATATTTGGAGGGGCCAAAAGTAATATTAAAAAAATATAATTACAAAATAGCTAAAAAAAAAAAAAGTTCATGGGGGTCAACTGCCCCTGCCCCTTTGTAGTACCGCCCATGACTATATGATAAACTAATAGTAATATATTTTGTTATTATTTTCTATTTTAATTTTTATATTTAAGCTATTGCTAATTTACCCTAAGTTAATATAGAATAAAATAGTATACAGTAAATAAAAATAACAAGCTTGGAAGTGTTATAATTAGGGGTAGGAATCAAAACCATTAAAATGATATTATTATTGTAATTTTAAGAAAGAAAAAGAATTTTTAAAATTTTATTTGGAAATTAAAAGTGACTTTTTTTTTTTGCCTAAAATTATTTTTATTTCATTAAATAAGAATGAAAGTACAACGGGCCTCAAAATTAAAATTCATTTTAAAAGACAAACAAGAAAACATTATAACAAAAAAAAAATATATTTACTTACCAAATAAAAAAATCCACCGAGAGCAAAAGACTTCACAATTTTTGTTTCACATGTACATGTGTCCCTCGGTTAGTGGCGTCCAATTTTCTTCATTTAACGGAGCGTCCGCTCCCAATTCACTCCCCTTAAACAAATATTTAAACTATCTCTAGCTAAATATACAATAAAAGAAAAAATCATAAATAATAATATTAATAAAAAAAAAAGTAGTCATCTTCCACTCCACGTTCCCAAAAAAATAGTGACAAAAACATAGGGGGCTTTGAGTAAAGAACATAGGGGGACAAACACTAATGTTTTTAACGAGCCTATCACAGGGGTGCCGCTTGCAAAAAAACTCATTTAGTAAAAAGGCAATTTACATTTGGAGATCGTGTGATGCATACCAAAACTAGTAGCTAAGGGAATGTTGAAATGATCTTCATTGTATTTGACACCATAAAGGCAGAGTCCATGCGGTGGTACTGCCAATGTATATTTCGCTAACTCTTTTCTATCTCGACTTTCCAAAATCATCGGTACAATCTCAGCTGGAACTGCTTCTCTTCCTACTTGAAGCATTATAGCAACCTATTTTTATACAACATTTATCATTAAACAGATATATTTATTTAACAAATAACAGCAGCAATTGTGTTTGATTTGATGGTATTCATACCATGTTCCGAACTTGCTTATATAGAAACCCAGATCCTTCAACTTCAATCTGCAACAAAGGTCCCTGCAGGAAAAAAAATTGGATTTGAATCTGCAACTTCTTGATAGTTTATAACTGAATTCGACAAGTACCATCTCATTGACATGAAATCGAAGTATATTCTTGACTGGATTTGGTATGCCATCGTTGTGTGAGGCATTAGCAAAAGCAGAGAAGTCGTGCTTCCCTACAAAATATTTAGCAGCATCTTTCATTGCAGATGGATTAAGTTTATAACTACTATGGTAAACGTAGTGCCTTTGAATTGGATCCATAACGGCGTCGTTGTAAATCTTGTAATTATAAGTCTTGCTTTTAACAGAAAAACGAGCATGGAATTCAGGTAGGACAGAGCTTATTTCTCTGATTCTGATGTCTGGGGGAAGACCACCATTTAATGCTCTGTGAAACCCCTCCAAGCACTCGTACTTGAAAGGTGTGATGAAGTGTGCCACCTGATAAACCATATACTCAATTTCTTTTTTTTCATTAAAAAAAAAAAAAGTAAAAATCGATATGCAAGTAAATCAGACCTGACCCCAGGCATGAACTCCTGCATCAGTTCTGCCAGCACCAACTAAACAAAGATGCTTACGTTCTAATTTTGTAATACGAGTCAAAGCTTCTTCAACTTTACATTGTACAGTTGGTATTGACTGTTGATACTGCCATCCTACATACATTATATGCATTAACTAACACCCCAAAACGATCATATAAAAAATCAAAAAAAACTAACAAAAATGTAAGACAAGTAGTAAAAACCTGAATAGCGGGTGCCATCGTATGATATTACCAAGCGCCACTTATAAGTTGGAAGGGGATGACTTTCCTTGTCCTGCTGATCATCATCACTCAGAGCCTACCAAGCCAGAATAATAAATTAATAATAATAACTATATCTCAGAGAAGAGTTGTCGAATACAAAGACATTGTCACACTATTGTTCGTAAGTTAAAAAAATTAAGTTAGAAAGCAAAACCACTTGTAAAGGCTGGTTTACAAATGTAAACCTCAATTTTGAACCTATAAAATAACCCCTCCTCTCTTTTACATAAATTATTAATTAATTAATTAATAAAATACCCCTATGAAGTACTGTTGCATATCTTGTGCTATTTAAACTTTAAATGTAAAGGCAGCTAACATCAACAAAATCCGAAATAAAAAGTCTGCCATGAGAATGACTCAATCTATATTTATATATGTTTCTGCAACTTCTTATCAAATAAATAAATTCCCAAAAATAGCGTAGCCCGCCGGTGACCGTTCTTACCTGTGGGTGTCGCTGCCGCCGTAAGCTCAAGTTTTTGTACGCCACCGCCGGCGACAAGCCCCCGAACTTGGACGGCTGAAAATTTGTCGGCAGAAGGCTCACATATGCACTCAAATTTTCTGGGCAGTGGAGCATCTGACTTTTTAAATTTCAATTTCAAAGGAAACTTTTATTTGATTTGTTCAAATGGCAGAGGTGAGTTATGTGTTGAAACTTGAAAGGGTGAAATGCTAAATAAATTCTAGTTTTTCTTTTTTTCAACAAGAAATAAATTGTATTTGTACCATAGTATTTCGGGATAATTACACTTTTGGTCCCTCATGTTTGGCCCGATTTCACTTTTCGTCCCCTTGTTCCAAAGTGAACAAAGTTCACCTCCAAGTTTCAATTTTAAACACTTTTGCTCCCCGCCGTTACATGTCCGTTAGCAAGTAACGGAAAACACTATTTTGGGGCGAAAATTAAAATTTTAAATTGTTTTGGGGCAGGAAAATAGTTAGAAATTTAAAATAGACTACTTATAATTATTTTTAAATTTAATAGGTGTGGTGGATATTTTTTTTTAAATCAATTTTTATATGACACAATATATTAATGTATTTAAAAAATTGAGTTTTTAAAATATATAATTATTTTATGAAAATTATTATATATTTTTATAATTTATTATGGATTAATTATATGTGAGAAG